ACGACATCCGATCCTCATTTATTAAGTCAAATGACACCGCTGGTCCTGCTCACACTGCCCTACCCTATGCTTTGAATTCTTTCTCCCCTCTCTCTCCAGATGAAATCTTGCGACTTGTGATGGCCGACCGCCCAACAACCTGCCCGCTTGACCCTATCCCCTCCTCTCTTCTCCAGACCATTTCCGGAAACCTTCTCCCTTACCTCACCTCGCTCATCAACTCATCCTTGACCGTTGGCCATGTCCCTTCCGTCTTCAAGAGAGCGAGAGTTGCACCCCTCCTCAAAAAACCTACACTCGATCCCTCCGATGTCAACAACTACAGACCAGTATTCCTTCTTTATTTTCTCTCCAAAACTCTTGAGTGTGCCGTCTCTAGCCAACTTTCCTGCTATCTCTCAGAATTACCTTCTTGATCCAAACCAGTCAGGTTTCAAGACTGGTCATTCAACTGAGACTGCTCTTCTCTGTGTCACGGAGGCTCTCCGCACTGCTATAGCTAACTCTCTCTCCTCTGCTCTTATCCTTCTAGACCTATCCGCTGCCTTTGATACTGTGAACCATCAGATCCTCCTCTCCACCCTCTCCGAGTTGGGCATCTCCGGCGCTGCTCACTCTTGGATTGCGTCCTACCTGACAGGTCGCTCCTACCAGGTGGCGTGGCGAGAATCTGTCTCTGCACCACGTGCTCTCACCACTGGTGTCCCCCAGGGCTCATTTCTAGGCCCTCTCCTATTCTCTCTATACACCAAGTCACTTGGCTCTGTCATATCCTCACATGGTCTCTCCTATCATTGCTACGCAGACGACACACAATTAATGTTCTCCTTTCCCCCTTCTGATAACCAGGTGGTGAATCGCATCTCTGCATGTCTGGCAGACATATCAGTGTGGATGTCGGATCACCACCTCAAGCTGAACCTTGGCAAGACGGAGCTGCTCTTCCTCCTGGGGAAGGACTGCCCGCTCCATGTTCTCGCCATCACGGTTGACAACTCCATTGTGTCCTCCTCCCAGAGTGCAAATAACCTTGGCGTGACCCTGGACAACACCCTGTCGTTCTCCATTAAAATCAAAGCGGTGACCCGATCCTGCAGGTTCATGCTCTACAACATTCGCAGAGTACGACCCTACGTTACACAGGTCCTAATCCAGGCACTTGTCATCTCCCGTCTGGATTACTGCAACTCGCTGTTGGCTGGGCTCCCTGCCTGTGCCATTAAACCCCTACAACTTATCCAGAATGCTGCAGCCCGTCTGGTGTTCGACCTTCCCAAGTTCTCTCATGTCACCCCGCTCCTCCGCACACTCCACTGGCTTCCTGTTGAGGCTCGCATCTACTACAAGACCATGGTGCTTGCCTACGGAGCTGTGAGGGGAATGGCACCTCCTTAACCTTCAGGCTCTGATCAGACCCTACACCCAAATGTGGGCACTACGTTCATCCACCTCTGGCCTGCTAGCTCCCCTACCTCTACGGAAGCACAGTTCCCGCTCAGCCCAGTCAAAGCTATTTGCTGCTCTGGCACCCCAATGGTGGAACAAGCTCCCCCACGACGCCAGGACAGCGGAGTCACTGACCACCTTCCGGAGACACTTGAAACCCTACCTCTTTAAGGAATACCTGGAATAGGATAAAGTAATCCTTCTACCAACCCCTCCCCCACCCCCCCATAATAAAAAAATAAAAAAAGTGGTTGTCCCACTGGCTATCATAAGTTGAATGCACCAATTTGTAAGTCACTCTGGATAAGAGCGTCTGCTAAATGATGTAAATGTAAAATGTAAATGTATTAATTTGGGATCTATCGCATCCCACAACTGTTTTCGACTGTGTCTGGAATATTTATTTCTCACACAGAATAGAAAATGGTCAACTTTAGTACTATGGGGGATAGTAGATTCAAATCCCTGTCTTATCTTAGCTCACTGGTCACCATAGCAACACCCACCCGTAGTCTGCGCTCCAGCAGGTATATCTTACTGGTCATCCCCAAAGCCAACACCTCCTTTGGCCGCCATTCCTTCCAGTTCTCTGCTGCCAATGACTGGAACGAACTGCAAAAATCTCTGAAGCTGGAGACTCTTATCTCCCTCACTAACTTAAAGCATCAGTTGTCAGAGCACCTTACCGATCACTGCACCTGTACACAGCCCCATCTGAAATTAGCCCACCCAAGTACCTCATCCCCATATTGTTATTTATTTTGCTAATTTGCACCCCAGTATCTCTATTTGCACATCATCTTTTGCATATCTATCATTCCAGTGTTATTAGATCCTCTGTAGCTCAGCTGGTAGAGCACGGTGCTTGTAACGCCAAGGTAGTGGGTTCGATCCCCGGGACCACCCATTCACGAAAATGTATGCACGCATGACTGTAAGTCGCTTTGGATAAAAGCGTCTGCTAAATGGCTTATTATTATTACGAAATTGTAACTATTTTGCACTATGGCCTATTTATTGCCTTACCTACAAAACGTACTACATTCGCACACACTGTATATATATTTTCTGTTGTATTTTTTATTTTATGTTTTGTTTACCCCATATGTAACTCTGTGTTGTTGTTTTTATCGCACTGCTTTGCTTTATCTTGGCCAGGTCGCAGTTGTAAATGAGAACTTGTTCTCAACTGGCTTACCTGGTTAAATAAAGGTGAAATAAAAAAAATTAAAAATAGATTGACATAGGCTAGTGCTTTTGCTGTTCGTTAGGCCTACTCATCTTGTTGGCTGACGAAAAATAAATGTGGACAGTTCTTCCTATATCTTCAATATGCACCTCGGAATTGGACAAGGGCACGCGCAGTTGCATCCCCGATGTGTCGGTCTTCACTTCTGGCCTGTAAGAAAGACCCGATCACGTGATGGAGAGCTATGTGAGTGAGAGGTGCTTCGGCACGCCCAGCATTCAGGGAGAAGGGCACAACACAGCAGTCCGGGCCAAGGGCGCAGTACAGCCACACAAAGGGCATGCTGCCGTGAAATTCGAGGCATTATCAAGTGCTTGTCAAATTGTGAATGAGAGACTGATGAACCCAAAAGGGTTCTTCAAAGGGTTCTCCCATGGGAACAGCCGAAGAACCCTTTTGGAACTTGTTTTTCTGAGAGTGTTGTGTTTTAACAGATTATTGTCAATGTGTACTCTCCATTCAAAGTGTTAGCTACATGCTTATCTACAGACAAGTCTGTGTTTGGAAAAGGAAAAGCAAGGGTACTACAGGATATTACATGGTATCCATAGGCATTGATCAATCAAATACCACATTCTCTCTGCATTGTTGGGAAGGACCGGTAAGTAATCATTTCACTGTTAGTCTACACCTGTTTCTTACGAAGCATGTGACAAATAACATTTTATTTGATTCAAGTCAAGGATACGGAGTGACTTGGTGTAGGTTTCAAGGTACTAAACTCTTAGAAAATAAGTTTTCCAAAAGGGTTCTTCGGCTGTCCCCATAGGATAACCTTTTTTGGTTCCAGGTAGAACCCTTTTTGGTTCCAGGTAGAACTATTTTGGGTTCTATGAAGAACCCTCTGTGGAAAGGGTTCTACATGGAACCCAAAGGGGTTCTACCTGGAACAGACTCCCTCTCTCTGTCCTTACATAGAGGACACTTACTACAGCAGGCTTACTACAGGAACCAATAAAGATTCTACTGCTGTCCCCATAGGAGAACCCTTTGAAGAACCTTCAAAGGGTTCTCCTATGGGGACAGCAGTAGAATCTTTATTGGTTCCTGTAGTAAGCCTGCTGTAGTAAGTGTCCTCTATGTAAGGACAGAGAGAGGGAGTCTGTCCCACAACCAACTCCTCTCTACTGATAAACACCCCTATTTATAAAAAATACAATAACACCCACAATGGGTAAGCTGCATCATTCTAAACGTCCCTCCCTCCCTCACCTCCCCTACCTTGATTGGCTATTTATCATTGATAAGGTAGAGATGGTGGAGCCAGTCACAGCTTAAAATAGATGAATCGATTTCGCTATCCCCGTGTGGCTCGGACCAAAGACGAGCACTTTATTAGATTGGGGAATTCAACGCTGTCAGCTTCTCTGCTTTATCGGTCAAGTACCTGCCTGACAATAAATACTTTGAGAAGAAAGAACATTTTAAAAAGAAAGAAAGGAGGGAGGGAGGGAGGGAGGAAGGAAGAGAAGGAAGGAAGGAAGGAAGGAAGGAAGGAAGGAAGGAAGGAAGGAAGGAAGGAAGGAAGGAAGGAAGGAAGGAAGGAAGGAAGGAAGGAAGGAAGGAAGGAAGGAAGGAAGGAAGGAAGGAAGGAAGGAAGGAAGGAAGGAAGGAAGGAAGGAAGGAAGGAAGGAAGGAAGGAAGGAAGGAAGGAAGGAAGGAAGGAAGGATCTGCTTATTAAAATAATGGAAACTCTGGTTATAATTCATGGCTACATGTTACTCCTCATGGTTGTTGAAGAGCCACTGAGTATTTATCATTTAAGACATGATGCACTGACAGTTGAGTGAGCTGTACTCCTGGAAAGAAATCAGAGCGGGGTGAGATACACTGAGAGAGAGAGAGACCTCCCGGGAGAGACAACGCTGCCTTTACAGCTTGTCTGCTCATATTTCCCCAGTAAGAGATGAGCGTGGAAGTGAAAACAGGAGTTGCCATAGTTCATCATGATTTAGTGCGGTAACAACGCAGTTAAGAACGTACACGTGAGACAAGTTGGAAATGTCGTAACATACGTAATGGTTGCAGGCTAGACACAATTGTGGTTTATTCCATATACCGTATTTAACCGCTGAACTTGGACAATGGCTGAAAAAGATTTTAAGGCATTTTAAGGCAGGTGGTAATGTTCCTAAACAATAAAGTTGCTGCAAAAATACCCCACAGTGTGTGTCGTTCTAAGTAAGGAGGGGGGGGGGGGGGGGTGATAACATACTGTATGTCTCTGTATCTGCAACAATTCTGAGAACAATTAACAATAGTCCATGCATTTAGTAGTGTGCAATAGCCACTGTTATGAGTAAATTAATTAATAAGTGCTATTGTCCTACTCACCTGTTTGATTGCATGCATCAGCTTAGCATAGCAATACACTATGACCAGGAAGGGAATGATGAAACAGAAAACAAAGAGCGAGATGATGTACGAGACGTTGTTGACGCTCTTGGCCATCCAGTCCACGGAACAGGTGGTGCCGGGCCCCTCGGGTCCGTAGCGGCTCCAGCCGAAGAGCGGCGGCAGGGTCCACATCAAGGAGTAGACCCAGGAGAAAGCGATGCCCAAGGCCACCTTCCGGTAGTTGGTGGAGTCGGCCTCGGTTGGGCCCATCATGGTACTGTAACGCTCGTAGGAGAGCACGGCCAGGGAGATTAGGGACACGATGCCTGGGAACGAGAACACAGACATACGCTCAGACTATGTAGAACAGGGCCAATACAGGAGTTCATACGGGGGGGGTCAAGACAACAACACAGACAACACTCCTGACTTCAAACAAACGTTTACCTTTGGGGTGTTCGAACAAAAGGCAGACTAAACAGTAGGAGTGCTCATTACATGGTAACCAGTTTATAACAGCAATAAGGCACCTCAGGGGTTTGTGATATATGTCCAATATACCATGGCTAAGGGCTGTGTCCAGGCACTCTGCATTGCGTCGTGCATAAGAACAGCCCTTAGCCGTGGTATATTGGCCATATACCACACCCCCTCGTGCCTTATTGCTGTTATAAACTGGTTACCATGTAATTAGAGCAGTAAAAATAAATATTTTGTCATACCCGTGGTATATGGACTGATATACCACTTCTGTCAGCCAATCAGCATGCAGGGCTCGAACCACCCAGTTTATAATAGATTATAAAATGCTTGAGTGTATGCTGGCATCCTACTGAGGGGAACTGCACCTCCGTACCTTCAGGCTCTGATCAGTCCCTACACCCAAACGAGGGCATTGCGTTCATCCACCTCTGGCCTGCTGGCTCTGATCAGTCCCTACACCCAAACGAGGGCATTGCGTTCATCCACCTCTGGCCTGCTGGCTCTGATCAGTCCCTACACCCAAACGAGGGCACTGCGTTCATCCACCTCTGGCCTGCTGGCTCTGATCAGTCCCTACACCCAAACGAGGGCACTGCGTTCATCCACCTCTGGCCTGCTGGCTCTGATCAGTCCCTACACCCAAACGAGGGCACTGCGTTCATCCACCTCCGTACCTTCAGGCTCTGATCAGTCCCTACACCCAAACGAGGGCACTGCGTTCATCCACCTCTGGCCTGCTGGCTCTGATCAGTCCCTACACCCAAACGAGGGCACTGCGTTCATCCACCTCTGGCCTGCTGGCTCCCCTACCTCTGCTGAAGCACAGTTCCCGCTCAGCCCAGTCAAAACTGTTCGCTGCTCTGGCACCCCAATGGTGGAACAAGCTCCCTCACGACGCCAGGACAGCGGAGTCACTCACCACCTTCCGGAGACATTTGAAACCCCACCTCTTTAAGGAACACCTGGGATAGGATAAAGTAATCATTCTAACCCCCCCCTTACCCCACCCCACCCCCACCCCCCAAAAAAAAAATTACCCTAACCCACTGGCTATAAGGTGAATGCACCAATTTGTAAGTCGCTCTGGATAAGAGCGTCTGCTAAATGACGTAAATGTAAATGTACTGGAATGCATTCATATAGGTTGTTATTACTTTGCAAAGAGAGATTCCAATGTACACTATAGAAAATGTAAGTGTGATTGCTTCACATAAAGTATCAAAGGGCATGCAGAATTAAGCTTTTAGATGTTATGGAAGAGGGCCCATTATATCAGCAATTAATTGATGCCACAAAATCTTTCATAGAGCATTGTATCCTTTGTAACCTGTCAATGCACACACTTCCTGCAAACCCGAAACCTGACCCCTCATCTTCTTTATCTTGTTTGTCATTTACTTTGAAGTGAAAATGATCCATGTGGATGTCCTTCATGGCCATTGATTTCCAATAGCAGTGAAGCAGACCCAACCAGTCCTCTAATTTAAAAGTGTGAACCAGACCTTTTTTGCTGTATAGTTCTCCTCAGCTTATAAAGGCAATGGGAGATATTGTCCTTGGGCTCTGTCAGTGCAGGTTGTTTAAGTGTGTGTGCGTGTGTGTGTGTGTGTGTGTGTGTGCGCGCAAGCAGGTTCACAGTATTAATAAATTACATTCATGTCTGCGTACATGTGTGATATATTCGCTGTTGACTATCTGAGCCGAAGGCAAAGCTCTGACATACTAGTCACCATGTTTACCTCATACGGTCACGGCTACTAAATTCATGTGGGTTTGCTTGCTCAGGCTGTCAGTAAAAACGTGTGATGTTTTCAATGATACTCTTGACCCACCTGGGCTGGTGAGATTTGTGGCTTTATGAGTTACAATTGCAATATAAAGAAAATGACAGCAATATACTACAGTATCTCATGGTTTCTATACATAGACATCCAGATAGTCCATATAATAAAGTGTCCAGTATCTTCTCCATGCTCTGACCCCAGAAAACAGTGACATCTAACATATAATCAAGCAACAAACCATCTAATAAAGTTGATGCTCCGCTGATGGAGAGCTACATACAGCCAACAAATTACTCAAATCAAATCGAATGACTCTAAAATATTGAAAGCCTTTCATCCATGACTCACACAGAGTGACAGCTAATATGAAATCTAATATTCCCGTCATTATGTGGAGGAACCAACCGGCGTCCGTCCTTGGCCGTCAGGGAATAACGCAAATCTTATTTAAGGTTAATTTGGACTTTTTGTAAACAGGTTATGTTAGTTGGCCAAGCAGATGCCTCTGCCCAAGATTGGGCCAGCTCGCTAGCATGTAATTGACATGGGACTGATTATTCAAAGTAGGGCCTTGTGGAGTGGGACACCAACTCGTTGGACTTCACGTCTTGTCTTTTAAAACTAAGACCCCGGTGTAATCAGAGAGGCCAGCTTAATGTAATATCCTCAAAATAAATGTGATCTGAAGATGAAATTCATTTGAGCAGTTCCCCCATCTTGGGTTAGTCCCTCATGCATTGTGCGTTTTGTTTTTCACAGAAAAATGTGAATAAAGTAAATGTTTTGGTATTATACGGTTTGTCCCACACAAGATGGAATGAAAAAAAACACAGGATTAAATTATACCTACATTTGCCAAATAATTGGCTGCCGTCATTTCTGATTTCCATTTTGGCCGATAACTAAACATCTGGAGATGTTTAATCAGTCCAATGTTTCGGACAAGTTTCCCTATCAAATAGATACTTGAGAGCTCACCGCATTTCACCACAACTGTTTTGCAAAAGGTTTTCATGCATACACATTTTAGTCATTTAGCAGACGCTCTTATCCAGAGCGACTTACAGTTAGTGAATACATATTATTATATATATTTTTTATACTGGCCCACCGTGGGAATTGAACCCACAACCCTGGCGTTGCAAACGCCATGCTCTATCAACTGAGCTACATCCCTGCCGGCCATTCCCTCACCTACCCTGGGCCAATTGTGCGCCGCCCATGAGTCTCCCGGTCGCAGCCGGCTGCGACAGAGCCTGGATTTGAACCAGGATCTCTAGTGGCACACTGCGATGCAGTGCCTTAGACCACTGCGCCACTCAGGAGTACACCCTATATCTGTAGCTCAACCCTAGTCTGTATGGGTTCATATTTGAAGAGTAAGGCTGTACAAAATCTGTACAAAATACATAAACTAGAGTCAGAATCTTTTGTACCATAAGAAAAACATCATCAGCAAGAGAATGAATGGAGGCCCATCGTTAAAGGTTTGGACTCTAGGTATAGAATTGAAATGTACAGCGCCTTCAGAAAGTATTCACACCCCTTGACTTTTTTTTCCACATTTTGTTGTGTTACAAGGTGGGATTGAAATTGATTTAATTGTCTTTTTTTTTTTTTTTACAATGGTCTACACAAAGTACTCTGTAATGTCAAAGTGGAAGAAAAACTCTAACATTTGTAAACAATTTATGAAATATGAAACACTAATATATCTTGATTACATAAGTATTCAACCCGCTGAGTCAATACATGTTAGCATCACCTTTGGCAGCGATTACAGCTGTGAGTCTTTCTGGGTAAGTCTCTAAGAGCTTTGCACACCTGGATTGGACAATATTTGCACATTATTATTTTTACAATTCTTCAAGCTCTGTCAAGTTGGTTGCTGATCATTGCTAGACAGCCATTATCAAGTCTTGCTATAGACACAAAAGGTCAAAGAATCGACACTGACAAGATGGAGGATCTGAAAGCCTAACATAAACTGTGTAGGATTTTTATTTGTATGAACGAAAGGTTAAAGTACAAATGACTGTCTGATATCTGCAAGGCTGTATTGGAATACTGATGCTGTAAAAATCCCACCTCCCATCATATACACTGAGTGTACAAAACACTGGGAACCCCTTCCTATTATTGAGTTGCACCCCCTTTTTCCCTCAGAACAGCCTCAATTTGTCAGGGCATGGACTACAAGGTGTCAGGGCATGGACTACAAGGTGTCAGGAAATGGACTACAAGGTGTCAGGAAATGGACTACAAGGTGTCAGGGCATGGACTACAAGGTGTCAGGGCATGGACTACAAGGTGGCGAAAGCGTCCCACAGGTATGCTGGCCCTAATTCATTTGTTTACTTGCCAATTCCTGTTGTATCATGTTAGGATAGAGGGATTGTGCTTCCCTTTACTGTTAGGCATTCTCACTGACCTTGGTAGAAAATACTAGGCTTATCAGGACCGAATACAGAGTACAGTCCAACTTCTAAATTCAGCAGGAGCAGACCAAGGTTAAGTTACACGAAAGTCCGAGTTGTGCACGCTTACCTGAACTCTGAATTGGCTCTGAAGTGAGAGGTTATCCCTGGTCAGTGTTTGCTGTCACACAGCTAACAGTGTGGGTGCTGACGAGTGCAGACTTTTGCTTCACACTCTATCGCGCGTATCAAGATGTTTATTCTGATACCAAACTTATACAAATTGTTTGTATACTATGTGTATACTTTCTGTTTTGGTCCCCAAAAGTGATTCTCTCTTATCAGCATGATGTATGAAACATACTGATGATGTATGACGCATAATGATGATGTATGACGCATACTGATGATATATGACGCATAATGATGATGTATGACGCATACTGATGATGTATGACGCATACTGATGATGTATGACGCATAATGATGATGTATGATGCATAATGATGATATATGACAGTTCCTACCTGCCTGAGTCCATAACACTGAAACTGAGAAATAATCACTTCAACAGTGACTCTAACAAATGAATTACACCCTGCTGGAGTATCACACAATATAATTTTCATGAAAAAAACACATCTGTATATTTAACAGGCCAAAGTGATGGTTGTATTCTGTTGTTCACCATGGCTCACTGCCACTGCCTGGGAAGCATTTTTAGGCAAACCAGTGTGGAAAGCGTTTTAATGGAACATTCAATCTAAATCGGATGGCAAAAACTGGATTCATGATACAAAGTTGAATGTGCAATTTTGAGAATTTGAGCACTTGCCCCCCTGAATGTCTCTGCACCGCCCTGCATCTCTTCATCACAAAGGGACAGATGGAAAACCAACAAGTGTATCTCTTTGTGACAGCATGTCTTAAGGGCTGACAGTCCAGCCTTTATCATGTCATCACGAGAGGGACTAGTATTGGCTGTGATTGGGGCAGCTAAAACTGGTTTGGATGTGCCATACTGGATTGAAACATGACATTTATTTTCTAAATGGTGCCAATTGATATCAATGCAGGTCTGGACACATTAAAACTGGTTTTCCAGTGGGTTTTTAACGGAGACTATTAACGGGCGCTATAGCTGCTAAATACTGTTGTATTAAGATAGCAGAGAGCCTGAGATGTTATAAAAAGAGAAAGTGAACTGGCTCTGGTCCAGAACAACCTGAACAGCCCAGATACAGCCAGTTGAATTAAACTTGTGTTTATATCGGATTGCAGGAATATAGATGATTCTTCCTGTACAGCCTATTGAGGCCTGGTTGGATGGACTAATGCACTTTGGACAGTTTAATATGCAATGCAGCAAGACGGGTTGGCTTTGGGAGATTATGAGGGTGCCCAACACCAAAAACAACAGTAAAAACAAAAACACAAAGAGGTCGACTGATATCTCTTGAATAAGCCAGTCTGGAGTATTTACATCACCAGACAATTTATCTCATGAGACTAAGCCAGCATGGCACAGTTCTAAATCAAATAATCAAGAGAAACTCCAGACGTTTGTGAGGGAGTGAAACAGCATCACAGAACTGATAACATTGCACAATTCAGCTCCCTTGAAATCACATGATATTAAGTCAAGGGTATCCTGAATATCCGGTAGACAGCGAAGCGAGCCTTTTACACAGCATGGTTTATCAGTAATTATAAACGGGGTGGTTCAAGCCCTGAATGCTGATTGGCTGACAGACGTGGTATATCAGACCGTCTATCAGACCGTGTACCACAGGTATGACAAAACATGTATTTGTACTGCTCTAATTACGTTGGTAATCACTTTATAATAGCAATAAGGCACCTCAGGGGTTTGTGATATATGGCCATTATACCACGGCTAAGGGTTGTGTCCAGGCACTCTGCATTGTGTCGTGCTTAAGAACAGCCCTTAGCCATGGTATATTGGCCATATACCACACCCCCTCGGGCCTTATTGCTTAAATAGACAGTTATAACACACACAGCTGATTGTGACTGAAGCTCTAAGCATCTTCTGAGCAATATAATTGTATATATCATTCTTGGCGAGGAGGCCTATGGTGAGTCTATCGTCGACTTTACAATATGTCTTGCACTATTGCCACAGTCAACCAACAAAAAATGCGAGGTTGGTGAGAGTACATGACAGCGACCTGCCGGTGCCCTAAAACGCCTTTTCATGATCCTTTGAAGTCAACATATTCCATGGTCACTTTGATGGTAGCCTTCCTGACAGTCCCTGAAAACTATTACCACAGACTAAATAACCGACAGTATATGACTCACAACACGGTCGGAAGGAAGCTTTAAATACTCATAAAAGACTAAACAAAATGTCTAAACACTGTTTGCAAATAAGATGAGTCATTTAATGCATCTGGACGCCAGTGGACGGCAGAGCTATTTTTATGTAGCCTATAGTTACAATGATGAACAACATATTTCAGATTGATCGATTGATCAGAGATAATTTTTTACTAGCCTGTTTTAAAAAATGTGTATGTCAAGATATTTTTATTTTTTATTTTTTTTAGCTATCACAAATAAATGAGTGACTAGACTTCAGAGGGGATGTTGCGGTTTAAGATAATATTTTAAGTTGTGATATATGGAAGTTCTGGGCCATCATCAACCTCCACCTGCAAACCACTGTATGCCGGATGAAGCCTATCGACGTGCTGTTGTGATATTCAAATTAATTTATAAAATAAAACTACCAAGCATAGGCTATCCCCTCTTTACGCATTGTGCTGGCCAGATTCCAAAAGCGCACACAACATCTAGAGTAGCCTACATCTTTTAAAAACACATTTTGAAACATAACCGAACATCAATGGAGCAACTGTACAGTACACTTACCTAATAGTGAATTTGCAAAGCCGTACCATACACACCCACTTTCTCCTATGAGCCATCTTCCCTGTGTACTTGCCGCGAAACTGAACGGAGTTCCCACCACACACACCAGCAGATCACTGAAGGAAATGTTAATCAGTAGCAGGTTGATAGGCGAGCGCAGCACCTTGTAGCGGCGGAAGAGGACGAGAACCAGGAGGTTGTTGAGGAATCCGAAGGTGCCAATAAAGCCCAAACACACAGCGACTATCAGGTTCCCAGTCGGGCTGAGAGTGGTGCGGTATGAGTTGTGTTCCAGGTGCCTGTCTGCAGCACCCGCACACAGCGCGCTATTGGCCCTCGTGCAGCCGCTGAAGCTCACGTTGGACACGATCATCGCAATCCGTTTTCGCGACACAGGTGCGCGCAGTGGATTGAACAAGAGCTAGAGAGTGGTTGGCATTTTTAGGAAAAAGTCGAACAATTTGGGCTTCTGAGTTGACTAACAATCCATTAAAGTTGATGGCAGAGTCACTTGTTGCTTTGAGGAATTTGTTTTCCAAAAGTGGATCAAAATAGGCTACGCGCTCGTTGGGAATGTAGAACTTTGTTTTCTAGTTCAGGGTTTCAAACCAGCACAAAGTTTGACGAGACTGTGCTCCACCGTGTGGTAGGCTAGTTAAAATCCACACACACCGCTGGACTAGACTTCCTCAGTCAGTGTTTATATTGCTGTACCACTTTTACAGCTGACGTCTACGCCAGGGAACATCACGTCCTCACAGGGTCCGTGGGATGCTATCCGGGATCCTTGGGACGTCCCTATCCCATTTGCAGTTGAAATGTAAAATGGTTGAGTTAAGGGGTTATGGTTACGTTTACGGTTTAGGCTATAGACGTCCCCCAAGGATACCGGATAGCACTGACCGTCCTCACAGGGGGACAAATGACCTGAAAAGCAGTGAGGATGACAGCGAGCGAGCGAACACAAATTATACTGCTGCCACTTCCACTAACAAACAAATGAGCTACAGTAAGCTACACCATCCATATACTGCCGACTCTCAACTTCTTTTGACTAAAATCTAACCAAACCTAGGCTAAACGGAGTGCTGTGGATGGTTTCAGTGACAGGCTAATGTTATTCTGTGCGGTAGTAACCACCACACGTTCCTGTTGGATGCGGCCGCTGTCCATGGTCCTGCAGCCTGTGTGTGTCCTGAAGTCATCACTGTTCTAGAAATCGCCAACAATCAACGGTGCGGACCATTTCAGAATCTCCCGAGTGAAGAGTCGTCTGTTTCAGGCCAATACTGTCCCTGTTGTTTTACTTGCCTTTTCATTCGTAGCACTTAATCACTCCTTAAAATATAAAAAATCAAATGTAAGTCGGTTATAGGCTACATACAGCACGTGCGTGTTTTGTGCTCGCTATCAGTCTGTGTTCGTTGTTAGGGCCATTAATCATTTCTCAGTAAAACAAAGTTAACGTTGCAAATCCACTATAGTCGGTTCGTTATCAGTAAGGTGTGTTTTGTTTTCACAGTAGGTGATGGAGGATCTCAGACTGAGAAGATAGGACATTTCATACCATTTTTAAAAAAAAGATTAGAGCTCCTGTTCAGAGCTCTGATCTTAACAGAGCCAGTGTGGTTTAGGATATATGGGTGAAAGTAATACATTGCCACAAATACTAGCAAATACTTTGTGGGTCTATTTCAATCATTCCACTGTATACTGGACAAGCCTAATGTCACGCCCTGGCTCTGGGGACTTTTATATGTTGAGCCAGGGTGTTAGTTTCTATGTGTTAGTTTCTGGGGGGGGCACACGGCATGGACGACGGGGCTGCTGGAGGCAGCTACAGGGCGAGTTTGTGGACTAGGAGAGGAGGCCACCAGGTTACGGGGGCTATTGGTCAGGAGGGAGAAGGAGAGTGTGGAGGCACGGCAAGAGGAACTGAGTAGGCAGCAGAGGGAGCGGAGGTTTATGAGGAAACCCAGTCCCGCTCCTCGCACCAAGCAAGTGGTGTGTGTCACCAGTCCGGTCCGGCCCGTTCCTGATTCCCGCACAAGGCCAGTGGTGTGTGTTCCCAGTGCAGTCAGGCCCATTCCTGTTCCCCGCACTAAGTTAGTGGTGCGTGTTCCCAGTACGGCCCGACCCGTTCCTGCTCCCCGCACTAAGTTAGTGGTGCGTGTTCCCAGTACGGCCCGACCCGTTCCTGCTCCCCGCACTAAGTTAGTGGTGCGTGTTCCCAGTACGGCCCGACCCGTTCCTGCTCCCCGCACTAAGTTAGTGGTGCGTGTTCCCAGTCCGGCCCGACCCGTTCCCGCTCCCCGCACTAAGTTAGTGGTGCGTGTTCCCAGTCCGGCCCGACCCGTTCCTGCTCCCCGCACTAAGTTAGTGGTGCGTGTTCCCAGTCCGGCCCGACCCGTTCCTGCTCCCCGCACTAAGTTAGTGGTGCGTGTTCCCAGTACGGCCCGACCCGTTCCTGCTCCCCGCACTAGGTTAGTGGTGCGTGTTCCCAGTACGGCCCAACCCGTTCCTGCTCCCCGCACTAAGTTAGTGGTGCGTGTTCCCAGTCCGGCCCGGCCTGTTCCTGCCCCTAGCACCAAGCCTGTGGTGCGCGTCGCCAGCCCGGCCCGGCCTGTTCCTGCCCCTCGCACCAAGCCTGTGGTGCATGTCGCCAGCCCGGCCCGGCCTGTTCCTGCCCTCGCACCAAGCCTGTGGTGCGTATCGCCAGCCCGGCCTGTTCCTGCCCCTCGCACCAAGCCAGTGGTGCGCGTCGCCAGCCCGGTCCGGCCTCTTCCTGTCCCTCGCACCAAGCCTGTGGTGCGCGTCGCCAGCCCGGCCCGGCCTGTTCCTGCCCCTCGCACCAAGCCAGTGGTGCGCGTCGCCAGCCCAGTCCGGCCTGTTCCTGCTCCCCGCACCAAGCCATTGGTGCGCGTCGCCAGCCCGGTCCGGCCTGTTCCTGCCCCCCGCACCAACCCAGTGGTGCGCATCGCCAGCCCGGTCCGGCCTGTTCCTGCTCCCCGCACCAAGCCAGTGGTGCGCGTCGCCAGCCCGGTCCGGCCTGTTCCTGCTCCCGCACCAAGCCAGTGGTGCGCGTCGTCAGCCCGGTCCGGCCCGTTCCTGCTCCCCGCACCAAGCCAGTGGTGCGCGTCGCCAGTCCGGTCCGGCCTGTTCCTGCTCCCCGCACCAAGCCAGTGGTGCACGTCGTCAGCCCGGTCCGGCCCGTTCCTGCTCCCCGCACCAAGCCAGTGGTGCGCGTCATCAGCCCGGTCCGGCCCATTCCTGCTCCCCGCACCAAGCCTGTGGTGCGCGTCGTCAGTCCGGCACAGCCCGTGCCTGTTTCACCGGTGCCTGGTCAGGTACCGGTCAGCTGCTCCACAACGGAGCCTAAGCAATCTGCTCCACCGATGTCCAGTCCAGCTCCAGCCAGCGGGGCCAGACCAGATCAGGGGCGCTACGGGGGGTTAGTTAGAGGGTGGTGGTCATGCCCGGAGCCGGATCCGCCTCCGAGGCGGAATGCCCACCCGGCCCCTCCCCTGTTGGGTTTAGTTGGCGCGGTCGCAGTCCGCGCCTTTGGGGGGGGGGGGTACTGTCACGCCCTGGCTCTGGGGACTTTTATATGTTGAGCCAGGGTGTTAGTTTCTATGTGTTAGTTTCTGGGTGTTAGGTTCTATGTTTCGTTTTCTATGTTCGCCGGGGTGGTTCCCAATTAGAGACAGCTGTGGCTCGTTGTCTCTGATTGGGAACCATACTTAGGCAGCCTGTTGTGCACTTGTCTTTTGTGGGATCTTGTTCCGTGTAGGTTTGTGTTTATGACCGAGGACTTCACGTTTCATTTTGTTGTTTTGTTGCTGTGTGTAAGTACTCAATAAAAGATGTACGCATTTCACGCTGCGCCTTGGTCCAATCATTACGACGATTGTGACACCTAAACTAACCTCAAGTATTTGCAAGTATTTTACATACAGTGCATTTGGAAAGTATTTTCCACGTTTTGTTAAGTTACAGCCTTATTAAAACATGGATTAAATAGTTTTTTCCCTCATCAATCTACACACAATACCCAATAATGTCAAAGCAAAAACAGGTTTTTAGAATTTTTTGCAAATGAATAAAAAATAAAAAACTGAAATAACACATTTTTCATAAGTATTCAGACCCTTTACTAAGTACTTTGTTGAAGCATCTTTGGCAGCGATTACAGCCTTGAGTCTTCTTGGGTATGATGCTACAAGCTTGGCACACCTGTATTTGGGCAGTTTCTCCCATACTTCTCTGCAGATCCTCTCAAGCTCTGTCAGGTTGGATGGGGAGCGTCGCTGCACATCTATTTTCAGGTCTCTCCAGAGATGTTAGATCGGGTTCAAGTCCGGGCTCTGGCTGGGCCACTCAAGGACATTCAGAGATTTGTCCCGAAGCCACTCCTGCGTTGTCTTGGCTGTGTGCTTAGGGTTATTGTCCTGTTGGAAGGTGAACCTTCGTCCCAGTCTGTCTCTCTGTGCTTTGCTCCATTCATCTTTCCCTTGATGCTGATTAGTCTCCCAGTCCCTGCTGCTGAAAAACATCCCCACAGCGTGATGCTGCCACCACCATGCTTCACCGTAGGGATGGTATTGGCCAGGTGATGAGCGGTGCCTGGTTTCCTCCAGACATGACGTTTGCCATTCATGCCAAAGAGTTTAATCTTGGTTTCATCAGACCAGATAATCTTGTTTCTCATGGTCTGAGTGTCCTTTAGGTGCCTTTTGGCAAACTCCAAGCTGGCTGTCATGTGCCTTTTACTGAGGAGTGGCTTCGGTCTAGCCACTCTACCATAAAGGCCTGATTGGTGGAGTACTGCAGAGATGGTTGTCCTTCTGGAAGGTTCTCCCATCTCCACATAGGAACTCTGGAGCTCTGTCAGAGTGACCATCGGGTTCTTGGTCACCTCCCTGACCAAGGCCCTTCTCCCCCAATTGCTCAGTTTGGCCGTGCGGCCAGCTCTAGGAAGAGTCTTGGTGGTTCCAAACTTCTTCCATTTAATCCTGTCTCGGCGCTCTACGGACAATTCCTTCGACCTCATGGCTTGGCTTTTGCTCTGACATGCACTGTCAACTGTGGGACCTTATAAAGATAGGTGTGTGCCTTTCCAAATCATGTCCAATCAATTGAATTTACCACAGGTGGACTCCAATCAAGTTGTAGAAACATTTAAAGGATGATCAATGGAAACAGGATGCACCTGAGCTCAATTTCGAGTTTCATAGCAAAAGGTCTGAACTTATGTAAATAAGGTATTTCCGTTTTTTTATAAATTAGCCAACATTTCTAAAAACCTGTTTTCGCTTTGTCATTACGGTGTATTGTATGTAGATTGATGAGGGGAAAACAAATATTAATCCATTT